ATGCCCCATGTGACTAAATAAATCAAGTGAATCAGTCTGTAGCTCTCGTCCTGAACAAGTTCCCGCTGTTTAGTCTCAATTACTTGTGCGGAACTCTCCGTTTAACGTTTTGTACGTGACTGTGTACCCCCGCGATGCTGGGGTAAAAGCTGTTTCCCTGCCCAAAATTATGCGTTGTGTATTAAAAAAAAAAAAGCAGCTAGAAAAGGCTGGCTCTACCCTTCAAGCAATCTCTATCAGTATCTGTTTGCGCGTCTCGCATCTAACCATGCCTACGGCGACTTCTGCTCTCCATCTGACTGGGCTCCGCCTGAGCTCCGGCGATACCTGGCAACGTGGTAAATCCCGTGCTCTGATATCAGGATTCTATTCCTCCGTTTTGCATCAAGTCTTGCGTCTATTAGGCCAGACTGCCGGGATGGTGTAATCGTCTTCTGGGGTCGATTTCGTGCGCAATTAGTATCAGGACGAATTAGGTTAATACTCAACAGGCACTGTTTAACATGCCAAATTTTGATTCCGTTATAATGCAAGTCTCGGAACTTTCCTACAAACTCCAGGTTCGCGTCCCGATCATGATCACCAAAAGACTGCGATCTGTACGAACTTGATTTCCTTACAACTGAGGTATCAGAAATTTTCCGCTATCCTCAGACTTGCCTTCTATCATCATAATGTACTGCAACTCGTACTAACATTTCACCGATCAACACCTGTGATGCTGTATCAAACCGAAAGATCTGTAACTAGTTCGGTATAGTACGGACGTTTGTACCCTCTATCTCTCTGAAGCTTCCGGCCTGGACTTTGTTGTGTCTTGCGGTGAATGGAAGTAACGGTCTTCAGCTTCGTGACGTAAATCATGGTTTGTTCTCATAAACGCTCATACTACTAGACTGAGTACCATGCATGGTAAGCTCCCATACAAACATTGCATATCTATCTGATTCACGTTAGATCGGTATTGATATTCGTGGTTTGAGAGAAAGGCTATGCAACACATCGTCTAACCCAGAATAGTCTGAATGATGTTAAACTTCTGTCTTTCTCGATCAAAGAAAACAGCCTCGAGTCAAGTCAAAATAGTATTCCAGGCACATGTAATTTAGCAGTAAGATCGCATTTAACAAACCATACCAACTGCATTCAGCATCACTGCATACTATGTATGAAAGCTTCATATTTCCACGTTCAGTTATGTGCACAAAGTGTTACAGAAATTTTCACAATGCTGTCCTTGTGCTTACTTGACATGCCATTAATAACTTACAAAGTACCATGCAAATAGTGTGAGTTTCTGAAGTTCATTTTGCAGGCACAAAGCTCTATATCGGTTATCTCACCATACCCGTGTCAATAAATAGTGTTCTTTGAAAGTACATCGTTTCAACTAGCCCTTTTTTTCCAGTGCTGTTCATGAGTTTTCATTAATTACAGTACTTCATCTCTGCTCAAAAACTGAGTTTGCTGTTGTTCTCGCCGCTGATACCAGTGCTCTCACTGTATAACCAAGAACAGAAAGAGCAGCACCGTCTGAATGAACTCTAGATAAATGTAGATGAATAAATTTTCATTTCATTTCGCTTCATTTCTGGAGGGAATCCAAAATCTATATATGATACATACAATGTGTGGGTTTCACATCAGTTTTCACTTTGGCGCAACAGAAACGATAAAGCAGGTTGGCGCAGAGAAAGAGAGAGAAAGAAAGGGTAAAGGGGAACGCAGCGATAAAAAAAGAAAGATGGATAAATGAATGAATGAGCGTGTGTAGATGGTTATCGCAAGCAGCGACGGAGTAAGGCACAACTTCGCCACGGCCAACTTCAAGTTTGCTCTGCCCTAGCTTCGGTATATGATGTACAAACGGGAATATTGCAAGGTGACAAAAGAGCAAAGACTTTGCAAGAAGTAGTATTACGTTGAAGAGAGGGTGGCCGCTAAAAGCTATTCGCCCAAGCCTCAAGGTCAACAGAGGAGCTCCGGGATTGCACAATCCAGGGGTGATTCTGTAGAAAGGCACCCGAGTTAGCAACGCATCTGGCAATCCAACAAAGCGCGTGCTTGCACACGGAAGCGCTACTTACCAAGAGATCTTTAGGCGTCAAACGGTCATCCGGATCCTTCAACAGACAGCTGTCCACGAAGTTTTCCGCTTCCTTCGGGAAACGACCTTCAGGCGTTAATCGTGGTGCAGGTTCGTTCACAATATGCTGAAGAAGCTCCAGTATACTCATGGTCATCCCACCACCTTGCAAACTGACACCCTTGCTCTTTCGCTTATCCTTTTTGCTAGTCTTCTCATTCTTATCCTTCTTACGCGAAGAAGGTAGTGGCAAACCAAGGAGAGAGCCAGGTCGCTGTGGTGATAGCGTTCCCTCGAGGTCTTCAAGATCAGAAAGATCGGAATCGGACGCGTCATCCTCTGAGAATGGGAATCGTCCCAGCGCCAGCTCGATCAACGAGATGCCAAGTGACCACACGTCAGATTTTACAGTATACTGCGCGCCTTGAATACGCTCAGGCTGTGAAGATAACACATGGGGAAATCAGAAAATTCAGCCGGCGGATATATTCTAATTTTAGATCCACTCACGCTCATGTATGTAGAAGTTCCGACGAAAGTGTCGGCGATGGAGTTGATGAGCTCGCCGGACACACCAAAATCACAGATTTTGATCTGGCCCGAGGAGTTGCATAGGATGTTTGAAGGTTTGATGTCTAATCACACGTCAGCGTGGCACTAAGCGAGAAGTTGAGATCGAAGCGTGCCTCTGTGAATGATTCGGTGCACGTCGTACAGGTAGGTCAGGCCCTCCAGGACGGCCAACGCGACTCTCCCAACAACATCGATGTCGATGGCGCCGATACGTTTGTAGATGCCATCTAGAGAACCCTTATCCATAAATTCAATGCACATGCATACATTCGGATCCGAAAGGAAGGCGCCGTAGAAGGAGATGATGTACCCGGAGTGACAGTCGTGCATGATTTGTAGTTCTCTGAGGATTTGTTTTCGCACAGAAGGTTTTGCATCTATCAAAACAATCTGAAAACGATGTTAATATTTTGCAATAAGTGTGTTCAAAACGCGAAAATGATAGCAGAATTCGGGAAGAACGGGGCTGAGGACGAAAATAGCTTCCCCCGCAATGGCCTTGGACGAAGTCCGGAGTCCATCATTGGAGAAGCCGAAAGAACATTTCCAAGTGAAGAACATGTCCCAACAAACGATAATATAAAGGACAAGGGATGTCCTAATTGCAAACACACCTTTTTGGCCATTATTTTACCAGTTGGTATATGCTCAACCTTCTTCACACTTCCTCCGTTGCCCTGGCCGAGCTCTTGCAGTTCCTTCAGATCTTCGTTTCGCAAGTCGTATTTTGTCTCCGCGTTCATGTCAAGATTGGCGAGTTTTTGTGTCAAGTCATTATGATAGGGACGTGTAGCAGACACGGTGCCTGTTGTGGGTGCCGAGGTCGATTTGTCTCCGTTGACGGTTAAGAGATTGTCCTCTGCCGGGGACGCTGTCGCGCTCACTTTTGGTGCAGCAAGCTTCATCGGAGGAGGGCGCTTCCGTCCATTTGCCTGCGGGGGAGCACGAGTCGCGACAGGTTCTGGATTCTGGACTGGCGGCGGCGGAGTAGGCGCGGGCTGCACGGACTTGGACACATCGAGCTGGAGTGCCTTGAAGTTGCGCTTCTTGCGCACAATTGGAGTGGTCATGACCGCTCTCCCTGATGTCGGATCCGATTGTGAGGGTTGGAAGTAGAAGAGTGAATTAAAAGAGGATGGCCGACGGGAGAGGGAGGAGTGACTGGACAAGGGTGGCTAGTAGGATTTAGGGAAGCAGAGGATGTTCCCACGATTACAACACTGCTGTGGCGGCACAACACACAAACAAGCCTCTAGTATCTACCCGATCACGTATGGAAGAGCAGATACTACAAATGCCATTTGTTGTCCAATAAGCAAGTTTACAAGGCACTCTCTCCTTTCCAATATGAAATAATCTACCATCCGACCATCTATTCGTCGACGCGCCTGCCTATCTGTCATCCTAATGACGCCCACAGCAGACCGTTGATCAGCGAATGCCGCAGCAACACCGGTGCCCCCGACCCAGCATCAGTTCTCTGCTCTCATGCTAGTCCGGCAGAAGCTCAGGCCACCTTCCGTCGATCCGCCGTACGCCGGACCAATACATAGCCGTCTTTATACTCAGTCCGCTGAATGCGTTGTTCCTTTAGATGCGAAGTTGATCGCCATCACTCTGACCTCGGCCTAGACATTGAATATCTTGACACTCTCCTCCCGACGGCCCATAACTCCCACAACCTCCGGATCTCCTGTGCCCTCTCGTAGTCGCAGCACAGCTGACGTTCCCGCAAACAAGGTATCTGCTAAACGCAGAATGATCACTAATTTGTGTTGCGGGTCGTAAATGAGCGCCCACCGTTGTCAACCCCGCACCGGTTGCATATGACAACAATAGTTTCTTTGCCTTCTGCCTCGCTGCTCCGCGAATTGCTCTCATGTTCAGTATCCCAGAGAGGGCGAAGCCTCGCGATCCAGTAATTAAGCGTCTGTAGATCCCATTTCGAGTCGGTGACCTCTTTAGAGTCCAGCCACGCATTTAGTAATAGCAAGATATTCGTTCGAGGCTTCCCTTCAGTGCTGCGACAATAGTTTGCCATCTCGTAGGGCCCATCTTTCAAAGTCCATAAGGTTGGAGGGCGCGGATTAAGATCCATGCATATTCCGATACTCAGCGTCTGTACTTCGTCCGGTAGTGCAGTCAGCTTCCATGACTTGAAATTGTCCCCTAATAAGAGTCAATAATGGCCACATGTCATAGAGTTCAATAACGCTTTACCTTCTATAGCCCAAGTCCTATCCGTCTCATATAGGTGACCCTTCCTGTATCCACCCAGAAATTTGCCTTGATGATCATAGATTGCTGCACTATTTGCACCTACAATCGCGGACCCATCTTCGCGCGTTCCTCGCTCTTCTGGCTTGAGAACCTCCGGATAGCCCGCTGCTACGTGGCATCGCAGTCTTCGTGCGAGCGACTTACAAAATTGAGACGTCGGTCCTTTCTGCGGTTCCTCCAAGTATGGCGTTATAGCCTCGGCATTCGGGAAGTCGTACCCTGATATGCAATGAGTGGCCTGAACAGATGCAAATTGTTGCTTACGACACTGACCCGTGAATATCATTTCTGGGAGACAGACGAGATCCACGGAGTCCGGCTGGATTCTTTGCGCGTTATGAGAATAAAGCAGAAATAGATCATGAATTCATGATGGCCATTTGGGCGGACACTGTTCCGACATGCGTACTTTGAGCATAATTCATTCGCCTTTCCCACATTTTCCTCTACCCGGCCTATCTTTTGTTTGGGGTGTTTAGAAGGAACACAAGGTCATGATTGAGATGAAGCACACGCACAGCGGGAGCGAACTGGACGATGGCAACTCTGAATTTGCGTTGCATAGTTCTGACCTGCACAGTTGCCCGCGTCAACCGGGCGAGTCTTATGGTAGCAGGAAGTAACAAGCGGGGCAAAGTAACGATTAATTGGTTCACTGTAGACTCCAGTTATCGATTAAGTGAGGACAGTCGTATTTTGTGGCTGTGTTGCCATTAGACGCTTCCATGGTTTGACGCGTGATCTACAACCACGACTTTCACCTCAACGTCCATGTTCAGACCCTCTAATGCCAGAAAAGTCACGAAATGAGATATTTGAAGCATCTGTACGCGAGAAATGGGAGGTCGCATTTCGGCGCCTGAACGGCGACCAGCCAGGCATTAATGGCCTTATGGCTTTCACAGAGGTGCGCGCGTACAGACCAGTCGCGCAGGTTATCGCAGAACCAGGACCTTAGCGTGCTAACAATTTCTCCTTAGTCATGGACGATTGCCCGGAAATTCCTTTGGCCTCGGGATATTCGAGAGCGAAGAGACCGTGATTTCGGTGCGTGGCAAGCCCTGTAAATTATTTATCCAGACAGCAATTAACACTTCGTCGCAGATCCTGCTGCCCTGAAATCGGCCTTTCAATTAATCGCACGGTCAAAGATGCTTTGGATCCTCGTGGAGTATTTCGTTCGTGTGTAGCTTCAATCCAGGATAGGATACAAATAAATTCTCATTAATCACCAAAGAAGATCTGCAGAAGCAATTCCATCTCGTTTCCGAGGAAATTGAAACGTTTCTGAAAGAATATGAAGTACGTGTGCCATTCAGAAGTCCGGAATGGCATTAATATGTTCTTTTCAGACTACCGATGACACCGAGGTAATCAAGAGACTAATACTTCGGCTTGCCGAATGGTACAACGCCTGGGCACCTGTTCCCGAGTGAGTCTTCTCCAACTCCTTGTATCAATCTGCTAACGCGTTCTGCCTAGGCTCGGTTCTCTTCTTCACACAACATTCAATTCTGAGTTTCAAACGCATCTCTTCTCTTCCCTCCCACCATCATTCCCTGGCACGTTCAAGCGACTCTGCGAATCGACTGTCGGAGCTCAGCAAGATACTAAACTCTGGACTGCGTTTGAAACACTGGGGCTTCTTGACCGTTATGAGAACCTTATCGCTAGCGTGTGCTACGAACGGATTGAAGCACATGTGCAGGAGATATGTTCTGGGAACTGGAGTGAACAGATGCTTCACTCATTGCGGAGCTGGATGGCAGACCAGATAGTTCCGTGGATGATCTTGCCGTATGCACGTGGAGCGAAAACTCGTATGTTCATGGCACGACCCATTTTGAATGACTGAATTAATATACTCGGCAGATGAAGACACAAAGAACATGCTTGCTGGAATAGGCACTCGATTTGATTATCATGTCTGCAAATCCCTCTGTGAATTACGGTATGGCATTTCTCATCGCCGATATTCTGGTTTGTTTTATTTTATTTGCAGAACATCGGAGATATTCGATATCATTGTTGACTATCCAGAGTCAACTCCCGCCCTCGTTGACCTTCGGGTACGCATATAATCAGTAATGTACCGCAGATGACTTACGCATACACCAGGACTGCCTTCAACGGGTCGATATGCGTGGAGAGCTGGTCTCAACTCTGCGTCGATTGTAAGCGTTATTGTACTTTCTTCGTTATAGGGATGATTAAGTCGTCGAAGGAACCGCAAGCGTCTTCTCCATCCAGGGGCTGACACAAAAGATATCTTGACTCAATACGTCTCTATGATTCGTTGCCTGCGTGTAATTGATCCACCGGGTGTGCTTTTACACAAGGTAGCTGATCCGGTACGAAGATACCTCAGGTACGAGTTCTACCTTGTCTATTCGGAGGTGTGCCCTCACTTCTCTGGTATAGAGAGCGCCCAGACACCATTCGGAGTATTGTAGCAAGCCTTGTCGGAGAAGGTGGCGACCTTGTTGATGAGAATGAGCCACCGCAACCATTACAAATGCAAGTCGAGGACTACTCGGATGCGAGCTGGGAACCCGATCCGATTGATGCTGGGCCTGGTGAGTATGTTTCAATTGCAAATCACTCTGTTCGCTTACTTTGTTGACGACGCAGAGTTTCGCACAAACAAGCCTAGTGATGTTATCAGCACGCTTGTCAGCATCTATGACTCCAAGGACCTCTTCGTTAAGGAGCTTCAGGTTTTACTTGCGCAGCGACTCCTCGCCATTACCGATGGGAAGTTCGAAAGAGAGGTGGGTTGGTATGACAAATTGGGTTACATTTTCTTATTTTCTGCCATTTATAGCGACGGAATATTGAAATCCTGAAAGTACGATTCGGTGAAGCACCTCTTCAGGTATGCGAGGTTATGTTACGAGACATGACGGAGTCGAGGCGTATCGATCAGCATGTACAAGCTCAAAAGCCAGTGCGTTATTCCTCTAGCTTGTTTTTCGGATTGGCAGGAACTAAAGGTCTGTCTGTACCCAGTCAACTCTACACCCAACAATTATTTCCAAACACTTCTGGCCTGCTCTGCAAGTCAGCAAAATGAAAATGCCTGGTCAATTTAAAGAGTAAGCCAACTCAGCATTGGCGAATTCATTTATTTTCTAATGGCCGAGCCAGGGTGATGGAGGAGTATTCAAAGGAATTTGCGTTATTCAAGCAGGACAAACGGCTTCGGTTCCTTCCACAGCTCGGCACCGTAGATTTGTCAATCGAGCTGAGTGATCGCACAGTCGATGTAACTGTTCCACCATTAGAGGCTGCCGTCATTGAGTTGTTCTCCGGCAAAGGTGAAACAATGTAGATGCGTTTGATTGCCTATTCACATGCTGATGGTTGTTTTTCTGGCGCATAAGCAGATACATGGTCCGTGGACGAACTTAGCAACGAATTACATGTAGAATCGGCTGCGGTCCGGAAAGGACTTGACACTTGGGTCGATCATGGCGTCTTGAGTGAGACCGACACAAACGTCTTCGTTCTGTTGGAAGAAGCGGGAAGTATACCCTTGGGGTCTAATCGTGGTGGTTCACGTCATGGTCAGTCTACTCAACACCGAGTGACATTTGTATTCATCTCATATTATTTCCTCATAGGCGTCATTGAGGAGCAAGAGCCGGTTGTGTCACCAGCGCAGCAACAAGAGGCGGAGCAAATGCGAGTATATTGGAAGTTTATCGAGGGAATGCTGACGAATATCGGAGCTTTACCACTCGACCGGATCCAAACGATGTTGAAGTTCGCGCCGAACTATTCACGGACGATCGAGCAGCTGAGTGTGTTTATGGAAGCTGCGCGCAGGGAAGGGCTTGTGACTGTGAATAACGGTCTGTGGAAACTCAATAGATAGCATAATTGTAGATTGGAGTGTACTCACATGTACCGCGTTAACGTTTTTGTCCTTCGTTTTATCCTTGTATTCATCGACCACGACCCCTCGTACTCTACTTTCCCTTGAAGATTGCTAAAACCGGGTGGTATTCAAGGTGAGTTCCATGTATATTTTTGCTTATTCCAGCTAACTGTTGTGCGTGAAATCAGGTAATCAATTGTTCATCATATTGCATTTATCTGGCCAAACACATGATAAGATTATGCAAGTGTGACAAGATATGAGGACAGCGTATCAATGCACTACATTGAGCCTGTGGTGACGTTGAATCCCATTGGATAATGGAAGAAAAGATACTGTAAAGGCGCCAAGTTGTAGAAGAAAAAGATGCTGGACAATTTCGTGGTACTGAGAAAGTGGTGATCTAGAACGAGTAAATGAGATGTCATTAGTAGGTCAAGGATATACTATTTCAAGTTTTTTGTGCTCACTTCGTCCTAAAGACCATTGGTACTGAATCATGAAGCGAAGCGCTTAGAAATTGTTGATGATGTATGTGTTATAACTCCCTCCGTAGTTCACTGCTTGATAGCCTCTCCTATAGCCTCTCCTATTGCCGCCGAGAAAACAAAAGTTAACGACAGGAAGCACACGTCCGTTGGCTATCTCATCTGGGGTTGCCCACATTAGCTCATGAGTCGCGCCAAGCGGGTTTTGCATAAGCGCGGCTTGCTCTTCATCGGTGAGACCATCCATCGCTTCAAGGATCGGCATCGGGTTTTCCTTGTACTCCTTCAGGAATTTCGGAGATAGCGCAAGGTCAGTGTTCAGTTTCTTCAACGCATCTGTTGCGTGAAGGACTGTATGTCCCTCTGGCGCAGCATGGTTGTCGATCTGGTCGATGACAGCCTTCTCGCGAGGTCCGTAAGCGGGATCAGTGGCAAACTCCGGTCCACTGTATGGCGGTTGAGTGTAGTGATTCTTCAGAAAGGTTGCAGGATCGGCGATTCCGAGTTTCTCGACCATGTCATCCAAGAACTTGCCAGCGACACGCGGAGGGATATAGAGCGTAGATATCGCGTTGAACTGCTTTACGATGTCCTCCTTACGGAGGTCAGAAACTGTGTGCGCTTCGATGGTCGAATCGGCCTGAGGGAGTATGGCACCAATGTAATGCACGACCTTATGGTCGGATCCATAGTCTCGCTCAAGACGGTCGACAAGCAGACTGAACTTGGCATTCTGCGTGACACATAGGTATCAGTACTGGAAGTCCTGTGTTATGCAATAGCCTTGCTCACATCAAACACCATCGCTTCCGCACCAAGGGCTCCGACTTGCCAGATAATGTTATACGTGGAAGTGTTCAATGGTTTGTTCCGGACCAAAAGTTCAGTAGCCTCGTATGACATGCAACCATGAACGGCAGGATCGAATCCAATATCGGCAAACAGGTAGTCCTCGGCCGAGATACCTGGGAGCATTCGAGCCTGGAATCCCTCCTCCTTCGCTATAGCGATGGCCCTATGAGAGGGCGATACAAAGACACCTGGGTGGCCGTAGAAGATCCCAAGGACCGAATGGCCAGCTCTGACGTCTCGCAGCATGACCTTTCTCACTAGTTAGCATCGCAACGCAGAGACTAAAACGACCACATTACCTCGGACATCTGGACATCTGATTCATAACGAGGTTTATTTGTATCGTAGAAGACGCGCAAGTCGAAGCATGTTCCGACAGCATTATCCTTGATGTATGCCTCCGTCGCAGGGTCGGAGACGATGTAGTAGACCTTCTCGACCTCTTTGATGTGGGACACCGTCTCAAGAGTCATATGCTTGATACTGGCAATGCCAGATCCAGCAATGGTCAGAGATCCTTTCTTGGTAGTCTCAGTAGTAGCAGCCATGATTGAGCGGGGTAGTTGAGAGGTGATGATGCTTAACGAGTCCTGGACGCTCGCCTTTTATGCCCTTTAACGCTCTAGGGTTCCGCATCGGACTGTAATAACAATTTTTGTTTGTGCTGCTATTGGACTTCCAATTGTGACTGTATGTAGGTATATACAGTTCCATGTGCACTGTCAAAGTACACATGTAGCATACCATATGCTACATTAGTTTCTCGCCACAAGGTTTAGATTTCTACTTAAAGTCATTTATGACCTATTTACATACTTGTAAACTTATATACTGATGTAGTTATGTAACTACCTTAATGGACTTTTTTCTAAGAATGTTTATATTTAAACTGTAGTTACTAATATTCAAAGTTATATTCTGGAGTTTATATATTGTGTACATTGTATCATATGTATTGAATCAGGGATCCTTTGATTGCATTCAATACACTCTACTTGTGTTATTGAAATGTCAACCACTCAACAGTTCTTTACAGTAATTGGGTCAACCCTAGGATTCTGCAAGAAGGCATTAGAAAGGAAGCGAGTGATTGTGTCAAAGTTGTACATTGTTTTGAGTCTAGACTGTCAAGTTGTTGAAATACAAGTAAGGTTCTGTCACTCAGACTCGGAAAAAATGCTTCTGTCTTGCCATCGAACTACAAGTAAGGTTCTGTCACTCAAAAGAAATGCATCTGTCTTGCCATCGAATTACAAGTAAGATTCTTTGTTTTCCTAATCAAGTGATATTTGTGTTTGAGTAGATACAGGAAGTCTAAGGGTTTGAATAAATACTAATAGTTATAATTGGAAACATGTAAGGTGATAGCTAATGTCAGATGTAGAACTGCCAGTCTTAGCTTCATCTGAACACTGACAAAAACACAGCTGTAGACTCGGAAGCACTCCTATATTTATCCTGAAAACACACAAAGATAGTACTATCTTAGTACTGTAATGGATGTCTGTAGATTGTTGTACCTCCAAGACACCAAGCTTCCGAGCATCCGGCAGAGCTTTCCCTCCTAGTTTAGGTGCCTGAAGTTATAATTAACACACACTTCTTGTACGCTCTTGACTGTTAGCATAGTATATAACTTGACATAAACGTTTCTTAATCAAGTGATATTTGTATTTGAGCAGATACGGGAAGTCTAGGCCCTAGGGGTTTGAATGAATACCAATGGTTATAATTGGAAACATGTAAACCTGCACCAAGGTATTTGTTCTTCCTAATGTTTCAAAATTACATAGTACTTTCCTGTTGGAAGACGGAAGCTTATTCCCACCGCAGGATCTTCAACCAGTCCTTTCACTAGTATTTTCATCACAGAACTAGTATACTTGTATCAAGAAAGCACGACTGTATTCGACGAAGCAAGTCAAGCGACGAGGGGAAGCAACTAAGTTCAACTCGAATTTGGGCACCTTATTTCAATGTCGCAAAACCGATAGTATTATTTCCAAGATCGAATACTGTATAGTAGCGGCGCAGGAAAACATCTCCTGAAAAATGGGCTTCAGTAGCTTATCTCGCTATATGACACATAGTGCATACCAATAATCCATAGTGCGTCACCATAGATATCGTTACCAGTGAAGGAACTGGTGCACGTGCGGGATGACCTGCCCTGGTTTTCGATAATATAGTCACTTCCCTTGAGAGGATAGGCCTGCCCATTGAACCAAAGGGTGAAGTCGGGAAGTTCAGGGACTTTCTTGCAATCAACTATATATTGACCATTCCTGTTATTCGCACCAATCCTGCACGCAGAGGAGACCATAAATTATCGAAATCAAAGTACGTGTTTTATTCACTTACTGGGCATTCAGCTTCTCTGCAACGTCGACAGGCAAATACATGAGGGAGGTCCCAGTGTCGATCACACCACCAGTATTTTCAAGAACGAACTCTTTATCCCCAAAGGCATATTTAGGAAGTTCGACTTCCCAGTGTTCCCGGCTGCGAACAGGAGCATAGTTGATCTCCCCTGAGTATGCCGATTCATCAATACCGCCAAAGACTACTTCACCACCGTCATCCTCCGAGGAACCGAACCTGAAGGAATAAACAGGAGCATCAAGTAATCCTTGGTTGACCATGCTGTAGAAGGGGGGCGTAATGTGGTTGACGGAAATAGTATCATAGCCGAGTCCGAAGATTCCGTCAAACCTAGACCAGGTCAAGTTAACTGAACGCAAAGCGATCACAATAAAGGGGAAACTTACTTTCCGAACGCAAATGCTGGGCCCGGATCTTTCGTCGCTTCGGCAAAATCCTGTCCGTCGATTTTGAGGTCGCCGATGGTGACAACATCCTTTGAGACGATTCCTTCCATGTCGCCGGAGCCGTATTTGATATGGATGTCCGTCCCATTCTCCTGATACGTTGACGATACAGAAGAATTATACTTCACATGCTTGGAACATCCGAAGGACCTGCATTTGGTGCTTGGGACCCATAGGTTTGAGCTACCTGTATCCAGGATAACCCTGAACTCCTGAGGAGGAGAACCGAGAGTGACATTCGTGAAGTATTGAACATTCATGAAGTCTACGCGTAGAGGGCATCATTGATTGGATACACGAGCTAAACGAACGATCCCTCAACTTACCACTGAGCGGGACTTTGTGCCCGCCATTCGTCATCTTATCGCCGATTGAACCAAACTGGTGACTCGGGCCATCTGTGCCCATTAACGGCAGTTGGGGCTGTCCACTATATTTCTCCGACAAATAGGCAGACTCTATGGTTGGGTCAACATTTCCTCGAGGAATCTTATGGAGCTTGAGCTTGTGCACGCCGCCGCTTGCGGTAGCAATGGGCAGGAGAAGGATAAACGCAAATGCAGAGGGAATCATAATGGCAGGTGAAGTAGATCTAAGTTCTAACAACGCAGTACGAGCTATTTAGTATTTGAGGCAAGGCGAAGAATCGCATCTTGTCACGAGAATTCGGGCGATAGTGCTCCGTACCACACACTATTCTGAATCGAGACAGGTGAATGTCTGTCATGTTAGACGCCCAGATTTTGCTTACTTTATCTGCCTCTACGGGTAGGCTTCCATATCATACTATGCAGTTGAAAACTTCTTAATGTATCATGTAGTATATTGCATAATGAATCAAATTCTGTGAGAAAATTATGCAAAAAAAGCAAATAAAGAAATTCAAGATACTTACTGAAGTGTGTAGTAATTATAGTTGACTTCCATGTGTATTTTGTGTTTCCGATTGACAGTTCCGTTCATATAAGAGCTCCATGCCGCCACATGACCAACACGACCAAGCATGGAAGCTGTAAAATGAAGGGGGAAAGGGGTATAAAGTGTCAGGAAAAGTCAACAGTAATTTTTTATCTTATATGAGTATATAATTTGTAAAATATCAATAATACGTAAAACGCTATATACTGCTTTTCCTCGGCTAATATTACAGTAAGTGATACAATAAGGTTACTGTAAATAAGTCGGATTAATATTATAGAAAGCAATAAGAATTATATGTCATTATAATACAAGTGTAAGATAAATACATATATTAGGCGTGGTCAAACCTTGCGATTCTCTGCACGATTCACCTCACGATTCTAGAGGGTGAATCGCAAGGTGAATCGTGCGTGCAGGTTTGACCAGCACACTTGTACATGCGCGATTCACCTCAATATACCGACCCTTGATCTTAAAATTACATAATATAAAATTAAAGAAATAGTTTTTTTTCGTGCATATACATATATTTATCTGCAAGTATGCCTATCAAGTACAAAGAAACCTGCTGTTATCGTATAAAATCTGCACGACAAGCTGTAGAGGCAAATCATCTTACTGTTTTTGGAATTTAGAGGTGAAAAGAAGCTTAGTTTTATTTTTGTAATACATGTACATATTTGGAAATAGATATGAGTAGAGGTGAATCGCAGGGGTGAATCCCAAGGCGAATCGCGTCAAAGTGCGATTCACCTTTCAGCGCGATTCACCCCGAATCGCTGGGGTTCCGGGGTCCGCGATTCACTTTGCATGAAAGTGAATCGCGCAGGTGAATCGCGCACTGAATCACCTGAGGCACGGGCTATCTCCACTCTAATTAGAGGGG